CCCTCATTCATTCTTGTACTTCGTATTTGACCATGACTGAACAGACACTCAAAGTGCTTAAGCTTAAGACTATGTCCCCACCTTCGTTCCAACTCACGCCTTTCTGGCCAGACAACATAGAAGCCTGGTTTTGTTAGGCAGGCGCCGACTTCTCCGAGCACGGCGTGATCGGAACACGTGCACAATTCCTCGCAGTAGTCAAGGTACTGCCGCGCGAATTCAACAGGTACGTAAAGTCTAGCATATGCACTAGTGATGTTTCTGAACCCTACGTAACACTTAAACGATCTGTCCTTAAACGCGGAGACCACACACTGTCGACTAAGGTTAGACCAATTCCTCAATAACATCGACCTCCAACACGGTTCTGAGACAGACATGTTGCAAAGAATTAGAGGGGTTGTCGGTCAAACAACCTTTGCTGATGGCCTATTCAAACAACTTTTCTTATCCAAACTTCCTCAACGGGTGCAAGCGGTGCTGGTCTTGTTTCAAAACAACGCCTTACACGAGCTGGCTGCATCTGCCGACCGCATTCTAGAAATCACGAAATTTTCTAGTGACGAGGTTTTTTCAGTCAAATAAAAGCCTCGAACGACCCAGGATGACATAACAGTGTTATGTGATACACTTACGCGTTATCCTAAATTTCGGTCACACACTTCGCGAAGAAGCACTTCACGTAGGCGATCCGTCTCTGGACCACGAGAGGCTTATAACCACGACTGGTGCTGGTATCATAACCAGTATGGAAAGTCTTCCAGAAATTTCAGAAAACCTTGCACTTTTCCCAACTCAAAACCGACCGGCACAAAAAACAACTCGGTAAACTTCCAAGCCGGCACGCGTTAATGGCAACCGGCGCCGGCGAACATAGCCGTCTGTTGTACGTCACAGATGTGACAACGAAAGTTCGCTACCTCGTCGACACTGGCACAGAAGTTAACGTTGTCCTAGCGAATTCTAACGACTGTCTTCACGAATCCGTTTTAAATCTACAGCCGGCAACCGGAAAGCTTATGACCACGTATGGTAAAAGGTACGTTTACCTTAACGTGGATTTACCCAAACCCATACACGAGATTTTTGTTGTTGCATATGTTTCTATGCCAATCACTGGAATAGACCTCTTACTACACCACAATCTAATCATCGACACGCGCAAACAGGGGCTAGCGGACGGAAATACTTGTTTCCGACTGACTACGAAGACATGGCATTACTGTAAACATTCAGAAATGCCAAATGGGAACTGACTCAATATATTTCCTAGGAAATACTATCGATACGCAAGGCATCCAACTCCTTGGAACTAAAGCGGTGGCAATTCTGGATTACCCGGAACCGACCACCATTAAGCAATTACACACGTTCAACGGCCTTGTAAGTTGTCGACGGTCCATACCTAAGTGCGCGTCACTTATGAAACCGCCAACCGACCAACTTCGTGGAAATGAGAAGTCCATCAGTCTAGACGACACTGCGCAAAAAGCATTCTTTACAATAAAGGAACATATCACTAAAGCGACAATGCTTGCACATCAGGACACTGAAGCACCCATTAGTAGCGCAGTAGACGCATCCGACCCAGCAATCGGAGTAGTCTTACGACAATGGGTTAACCACTCATGGCAACCTTCGGCATGTTTCTCTAGACGGTTGCTAGACACCGGATCGAGTTATAGTACTTTCGGTAGAGAACTCCTAGCTATGAATTGTGTTGGACGACATTTTCAACATTATATCGAAGGCCGTGAATCCACTCTTTACTGACCATAAACCTCTTACTTTCTCTTTAAGCCACTCCTCAGTCAAGTACTCACCACGTGAGTCTCGACAACTGCACCACATATCGCAGTTTACTTCAGATATTCAACGCTCTTCTGGAGCAAACGATATAGTCGCGGACGCCTTGTCTCGAATAACTTTCCTGAACAGTCCCCAAGGAATCGACCTTAAATTCGTCCAGCTTAAAAAAGAAGAGATTGATCTAAAGCACGAGTTATCGTCAACAACCAACGATAGCGTCAGCATCGGTCGCTCCAGAGCAGCTCATTTGGTAGGAAATCCTGTTCACGTCGATTTTACTTCCGTACCATCGAATGATACGAATCCTACACTTACAATACGTCAAGCTACAGCTAGTAAACACAATGATACTTCGGCAGTACCAGAAAATAAACTTAAAACAAAGCGTTCTGGAAGAAAAGTAAAGTTTTCAGAACATTTGAACGATTGTTGCACGTAAAATACTAGTTTACATTTTATATCATCTCGATTTTTCTTCGTACTTTATGTAGTATAAAAAACAATTTTAATATGCTTATATGTTTATTTTTAATTCTGAAAACAATCAAACAAAAAATCATATAGTAAAAATCCCTTTTTTACGCTATTGCCTGTGCATGAGTTCTTTTCACCCGATTTGTGTTTTTACGTGCGTACATGTCTATTTCGAAATGCACTTATATATTTTTTTCTTTTCCAGGACGGCTGCAAAGGAAGATAGAAAGAACGATGAAGTTTACGAGGAACCAAAATTTTGATTATACTTTTTCTTTTTTTCCTATATTGTGCTTCATGGTCCTTTATGGTGAGGAAAGACGGCCAAACGCTGCTTAACCTAGCAGGCTATCAGAAGAATGTTTGCCAACGACAAACTCGTCGGGTTTAAACTTCTGGCTGGCCAAGTCTTGGAGCCATCACTACCCCATTAGGGGGGAGTGATTTGTAGCGTTAAATAAATTCCCAAAATAAATAGTTCTGTAAGGTTGCTGACCACATTAGTTTAATGGACTCACCTAGCTGAAGGCGCTCGGTGTGTATCCACAACAGACCACTAGTGGGAACTCCGCGCACACCAACCCCGGCAATCGCTAGCCAGATTAGATCAGACGATCCTCAGTATAGTGATAGCCTATCAAATATATGTTCGAACCTCCCCACACCTGTCTTTTGATTTCACTTGGTGGGTACGATTAATATTAGGTGTTACTGGCTAAAGCGTTGACAAACTCTGAATACCTGTGGCATCTTCAGCAGATAATCAATAATTGGATGATGTCGTAGCCCTGAGTCAAAAGCTTATGCACTGATGTCAGCTATCACAAAAAACTCTATCCTTACGGCCTAATTGGCGCTAAACGGCGCACAATGCTCCTAGTACAACAAGACCCGACAGTAGCGCAAAGTGATCAGGCAACCTGAAATCCACACAGTACATGACTTATAGCCAATACCGTGACGAAACTATGGCGAACGATGAAAGTCCCTGAAGCAGCAATCACAGTGAAACTAAGTATCTGACATGAACAAAGATATATTGTAGAGTCATCACATAAAAACAAAACATATGGAACAGAAATATGTCAGAAACAGATGAGACAGCATTTTGTTAAGACCAAAAAAGTGATGTGTCTTATCGTTTTGTAACTGTAGCACTGTGGACCCTATGGTCACGGTCAATGGATTTACAGAGAGCTTGATGCATTCTTCAATCGTGTGTAATGTAGAAGAGAACCATAAGGCTGTCATTTGTATCAGTCACATGTGACACAACTTTTAAAATCCTTTGGTCCATACCTGTAAACAACCATGGTTGATTTATTGTCGCTGAACACAGGAGGCTTTTACTTTATACACAATTTATTGTACTGATACTATACAGATATTGGGCATTGGCGAAATTAGAAGCGCGAGTTATGGATCCTTCTCTGAATTATCCTCAAATCTACAAAGCCCTTAGCATTGATGTTAAGAAGTACACTTTGCTTATTATGTCATAAAATTCTGTTCAAGGAAATTAAGCGAGGTAAATAAGTGTGAAGAACAGGCTACTGACTATGGTAACAAAAATATATGTAATCGTTGATTTCTTCGTGCAACCAGCTAGTGTAGCCAAAAGTTTGGCCGTCCAAGAATGTCATGAGTTAGCGGCAGTCTTTTTACTGGGCAAAGCAAAGTAGGTTCACTATTCTCGTATATCACAATTAATTAACGGGCACATACTTATCTTTGCTTAGTCCCTCGGTCAAAGCGCGCGATATTCGAACGGGAAGTTTAGTCCTAACGTGAATTGCATATATCAAACTTTTGCTGTGTTCTTACGCAACAAAAGTACCATTTCAGTTCTAAAAAATCTATCCTGAGCTATACGTTCGGTAGATTACTTTTTTTTGAGTTTCACTATATTCAATAGTTACCTGTGGTTTTGCCTCAGCTTACTATTCGGTTTTTTTTGTTTTTCACGTATTGACTAGTTTCAGTTTATATCACTCGTTTTGTCCGTTTTTGTCCGTTTTCAGTGTGCATTTTATTGTTTTTTTAAAAGGTCTTAAGCTTTTGCCAGCATCTATAACATTGTTTGCTTCAACACCGTCATGAAAAACTCATGCAAACGTCCGGGATGCCGTTTTGCTGTCACAACTGGCATGCAGTGTGACAACTGCAAAGGTTGGTTTCACGAAGCATGCACAAATCTGACAGCAACTGCTTACAACAAACTCAGCAAGTCAGACCAAAAGTGGGTATGTGTCACGTGCAACACGGACGCAGTAGTCTTGCTGAGTAACATCATTGTCCTACTGACAGGTCTTCGAAACAAGCTGTCAGTTAACTTGGAATACGACAGTAAAAAAACTGATATACAAACAAGAGCGCGCAACGGACTCAAAAATAGGGATGTCGATAGGTATGTCATCGATGGAGCATCCATCAACACTAACGACGACGTGTCGAGGCTCAGTACCATCATTACGTCGACGGTACTAGACTCCCTAGGCAAACTCGGGTCCCCCAGCTCAGGGTCGCTGAACACAACAGTGGTTCCCAAAAACCCTGCAGGCGATTCGACCCACGTTAAGAGAGCCCAAAAGAACCAGGCATCACCGCCTAAGTCGAGCAACCCAAGTGTTGCTGCACGGAAAATAACTGGTGATTTAGTCGCACAGTCTACCCCCAAGACTGTTCGTCCGGTCAATAAAGAGCCCAAGATTCATAAACTCACACTGACCTCCAAAAAACAAGTTATTAAACCTGAACCCATCGTGAAACCTGGTAAATTAACAACAGTTCGTGATGATTCTCTCATTATCATGAACCTCGTCGACAATCCTGACCTTCCTCTCAGTCTGCAGGATAAAAACGACAGGATGCTGTGGGGTGAATTGAACAAAAAGCTCGAACTTCCTAGAATAGAGCCTTTGACGGTCACCCGGCTCACTCGAGGAAAGGATTCTAAGCATCTAAATCACCCTAGGCTTCTCCGAGTAACACTTAAGAATGCTACCGACGTAGAGGACGTCTTGCTAGCAAGTCACTTACTGAAATCAGATGGTAACGTAAGAATATTGCCCGACATACCGTACTCTGAGCGCAATATCATACGTAACGTCCCTAAAGAATCTCGCGAGAAGTTCTTCCGCGGACGAAACATAATTGTCCAAGGTATACCGGAAAATGCAGACCCTACTCACTCAAATTCTGACATCAGGGAATGGAAATTCATCAAACAGTCCTTGAGGCTCAAACACATACTGACTCAGCATGTGATGAGACTAGCCAAGAAGGACGGTGATCTTAGACCCCGCCTAATGAAGATAACCTTCCCATCTTCCCACATGGCGGCTGCAGTTCTGGAAGCATTTCGTGCTAATAGACGTCGATTGCCACCTGGAATCCACATGCACCCGGATAGGCCATACGAAGTCAGGACCAAGAACAAAGGCAAGCTGGAGCTGACCATTCCACTTGTGGACTGTCTAAACGATAAAAAAAACGTGTAAAGGACAGGGCCTACCACCTCGGCAAACCTCATATAGGTGGGCTACCTGTCCATTCACATAAGGTTCATACAGAAAAACAGGACGAAGCTCATGCGTTCCAAATTGAAAGCATAAACTGCTTATATATGAACGCCGCGAGTTTACCAAACAAACTGGATGAACTACGTGAACTTAGCAACGCTAACAAGGCCCATCTGATAGGAATATCTGAAACCTGGATATCTTCTCAGTTCTCGGATCAAGAGTTAGCATTGCCTGGGATGACTTTGTTCCGCAACGACAGAAAAATAGGAATTGGGGGCGGAGTAGCCATATACATAAGCTCTTGCTTGGAGGTGCACCAGGTTCACAACCTCGAGTTTAACAATCTTGAGGAATCCATATGGTGCTCTGTAAGGTTGTCTAGTACTTCCAGGTGTCTAGTCGGAGTCATTTATAGGAAGCCAACTGCCGACACCGAGTACGATAGTCGTATGCTGGAAGGACTATCCCGCTCTATCCGTCTCGGTTTCACACACATCCTGATTCTAGGGGACTTTAATCTCCCTAGAGTCAACTTCGCGGAACACACGTACACTGGAGGCGACAACTCAACTGAAGCTCGGTTCTTCAACCTCATCGATAACTTGGGCTTATATGAAAATGTGAGGTCGGCAACTCGTTGGAGAAACAGTCAGACACCATCGCGCTTAGACTGTGTATTCACTAACGAAGAATTCCTAGTCGACAACCTCTCAATCCTGGCTCCTCTGGGAAAAAGCGATCATGCCGTCATAGCCTTCAGTTTTGTCATCAAAACTAAGCTAAGGTATCCCAACAATAATTTGCGATGGAATTTTAAACGGCTGAATGTGCGAGCTCTACATGACCATCTACAACAGGTGGCTTGGGATGTTCACCCTCAAATCGATGTGGATGGTCATTGGGACTTCTTGCTGCACACGCTCTTATGTGCTACAGACCATTCAGTTCCTCAAACGGTTCCCAAAAGCTTCAAGCCACCTACAGTAATCAAGAACCGTACCCTTCGCCTCCTAAGCCGCAAACGGCACTGTTGGGCGGAATACAAACGAACTAATAACGATGGAGCGTATAGGCAATACAAACATATCAGGAACACATGCACGAAGGCTATAAGAGAAGACAGGCTTCAGTACCAAACAAAGCTTATGGACAAATTCGCCTCTAACCCTAGAAGCCTATTCCGTTATGCAGCCTCTCTTCGTCAAGCCAAAACAGGAGTTTCTCAACTGCTAGGTCCTAACGGCCCGACCAACAACGATGGCGACGCCGCTAACCTTCTGGCGGCCCATTATTCTCAAACATTTCAACCGGCTGATATCAACTTTATTGACGACAGTTTCATCTGCAATTCCACAGGACTTTCTGAAGTGGACCTAAGCGCTGACTTGGTGTTCCGGAAACTGCAGCACTTAAGACTTGACACTTCTCCTGGCCCGGACATGGTTCATCCTGCCATACTGAGGGAGGCAGCCTCAATCCTGGCAACGCCGCTTAGCGTGATGTTTTCACACTCGCTTAGCCGAGGCAAACTACCGGAAAATTGGAAGTTGGCTCACATCACACCAATTTTCAAAGGTGGTCGACGCAATGAACCTTCAAGTTACCGGCCGGTAGCTCTTCTGTCGTTACCTTCAAAACTCATGGAGTCCCTGATATGCGACGGTTTAAATGACTACCTACTGTCCTTAAATTTCTTCTCACCCCAACAGCATGGTTTCAGGAAGGGCTACTCTTGTATAACCAACCTGCTGACTGCGGTGGACAGATGGACAAGCATCCTCGATCGCAAGGGAAAGGTTGATGTCATTTACCTTGATTTCTCAAAAGCTTTTGATAAGGTTAACCACTTGTGTCTTATCAACAAGCTCAAACGACTAGGTATCAAACCACCTCTAATCGACTGGCTTACTTCATACCTAAAAAATCGGCACTTTAAGGTTAGGGTCAATTTCACTTTATCTCAAGCTATGGAATGTCCTAGTGGGGTCCCCCAGGGCTCAGTACTAGGGCCTCTTCTCTTCTTGATCTACATAAATGATCTTCCTCAACAGGTAACGTCAGACTTATTACTTTTTGCCGACGACGTGAAACTTTGGAGAGAGATACGCAACCAAGACGATATACAGGCACTTCAAGATGATCTGACTCGACTTCAAAGTTGGGCAGACGATAACGGACTTACCTTTAACACTTCTAAGTGTAAAGTAGTCCATCTGCGACATGTCGCAAACTACAGTTACAACTTAGGAAACACCTCTCTAGTAGTATCCCAAGTCGAAAAAGATTTAGGAGTCCTGGTGCCCCATGACTTAAAGTCTTACGCTAACTGTGACAAAAATGCCTTCCGAGCAAACCTTGCACTGGTAACGTTGAGGCGCATTTTTGGTCAGTTTGACGGAAGAACTTTCCACACAATCTTCAATAGTTTCATCCGTCCCCATTTAGAGTACGGAAACATAGTACTCCCCCCCTCACTCCAAAAGGATAAGGTCACTTTGGAGCGTATCCAACGGCGAGCCACGAAATCAGTTCGAGGACTCAAATCTAAGCCTTACGAAGAACGCCTTCGTTCACTAGACCTTTACCCACTAGAATATAGGCGTCTTAGAGGTGATTTATTAATGGCTTATAGTATTCTTAACACTTCTGGACATCCTCTTAAACACCTACTTAAGCTTAGTTCGAACAATAACCTAAGGGGTAACACCCAGAAACTGGAAACACAACATAGCAAGACGGAATGTAGACACAACTTCTACTCCTTAAGAGTTGTCAAAAGCTGGAACTCGCTGCCGGCCGAGCTAGTCCAAGCGACTTCTCAGGAGTCCTTCAAGAGGCAACTTGACCTATTCTTAAGGACCAAGGACATCATCGCACTATGATTTACCAATTTCTTTTCCTCTTTTATTGTTAACATACCTAGGTTCCTGCCTGGAGGATTTGGTGATCCCCTGCTACTAGACACGGAAGCCTGTTAAGCGAAAGCTTCTTCTATTCCGTCCACAACCATTTGAACCATTTGAACCATTTGAAATATCTGAAAAGTTTTGCCTTCAGATAATAAAGCCTGACTATAATCCCTAATACTTTTTCATGTCACATGAGACATTTGAGCCCCCATAAATTGTCAAAACTGGAAGACAAGAAAAATTAGGGCACCTGCAGGTGCAAACGTATCAGTAAATAGTTTCTTTTAATGCGTTTAAGTCACTTCTGGTTATTCTATTTGACAATGGAAATAGGTTTAGCTTAGCCAGTCGAGTATCAGACGACAGCTCCACTCTGTAGACCGGAGGTTGTGTGACTGTCGTTGAAAGGCGCACCTCGGAAGTGCATAAATCTTATGAGGGCTCATTATTCGAACACTTCCAGTCGAGTCAAAGCTTATAGCGAACTGTCATCTGATTTCACAACTTCAAATGGTGCCTGGCAAGGCTTTCCACTATCCCCATTTTCGTTAAATTACACCATAGACCTACTAGTGGGAATACGTTCCCGTTGTCTAAATTTCCAGGTATTGATCCACCAGGAGGTCCCCTTATCGACTTAGAATATGCAGATAACATAGTCCTGTTTTGTGAAGACGCTGATAAAATGCAAAGGCTTTTGGTAGCACTGAACAACAATACCAGGATGTTTGGGATGTGTTCTAAATGCGAATTGTTGCTTCGGGACTGGCCTGTGTCAACACCTGAACTACGGATCGAGATTGAAGTAGTCAAACACATAGACAACTCCACTAACCTTTAAGTTTGTTCAGTCCTAATGGGTTGGTGTCTGACGAAATCTTGGGACTAACTTCTGAGATCCCTAGTGGTGGTGCCCAAGTTGTTGACTGAGAACTGAACGCAATCTCATATGATTGGTCTTAATCTTTGTTCATTACAGATTGTATAAAAGTAAGTCGGTCCCCTTATAATAACCGCGTAATAATTGGTTTAACCAATATATATATATATATATATATTCACAGGGTAAGTGAATTCTGTTTGTTTTCTTCAGATGTGAATTCGCTGCTAAAAATCTGACTTCTGAAGCATCAACATTATTTACAGCTGCAAAATATTTTATACAAGCTGATGATAAATTGGTTTCAACTAATTCTATTAATTATGAGGATAATTTAAATTGCGCGATTCTTTGTTTATTAAGAGCAGCAAGAGTAAACGATTTCATTACTTTCAACATATATGCATACAATAGATCTATGAATTGAATGAACTTTTCACATTAGCGACAAACGTTTACATTTATCTGGTGGATACGTTAATGGTAATTCTTTTTTTGTTTTGTTTTTCTTTCCAACTAAACTGGAAATAAATCAAGTAACCTATTGTAACTGTAATGGCTGACCCTGTGTTAAACTCGCATAGGCTATTCCAGTTTCTGGACCAGTCAATCTGTTCGTTCTTCTCAAGCCACATTTTTACCTTCACTCATTAGTCCTGACTGTTTTTTATGTGGTCGTATGTGTGCTAATTACTTACCCTACTCATTATGTTTCTGCAACTTATTTTTCTCTGACTATAAATATCGATTCACGCTTGGTTACATTGAGTTGACTCATATGCCATCCACCATCCGTTTCGTTTCACTCTGTTCTCTTTGTTCCCTTCTCTGCGTTTCGCTGATTATCTGTTCATATCAATGGGTGTAGGAAATATACTTACTTATACCTAATTGTCGTATTCAACTCACTTAATTCCGATGTTCATCAACGCGAGTTAAGTCAATAATTATATACGAGGATTGGCGACATGTATATTTCGACAACAATCATTCGATAACGAGCACTCATCCAATGTAACTGAAGTCAGATTTCGGGCCACTAAATATCATTCGATAGAAATAGAGCAAGTTCAGCAAAGGAATTTTTCTTTTCGATGAAATCATTTACTTATACTGTATGTACGTTTGTTTTTTACAGTTTGAAAGAATATGTCAGTCTACTGATAAATAAAAAGAATAATTATATTATAAAGTGATCCGAGCTTTCAAATGTTCAAAGAAGATTGCGTACTTGTAAGAGAGAATAATCTACCGGTCAGGAATATGATAAATAATTATTGACTTAAGAAAGAAGTGGAAAACGTAAACGTCATTTAGACAATTGAATCATGAAAACTTGTTAATGGGTCAATAATAAGTGATCACGATTTAGAAAAGTGCTATTTATTATTATTTAAACAGATAAACATTGGTACAAGGAGGCACCAAATATGTTTACACCACATAAATCAGTCGATTTATGTGAGGGCTGTGATACTGTCCGGATGCCTAGAACAAAACAGGTGGTTTTCTTGGGGGGCCACATCCGGAACCTTCGACCTAAAGGTTTGATCCACAAGGCAGTGGAGCAACGTCAGGAGATGCAGTCCCATGGTAGCCGGTGACCAACAATAGGTTCATACCCCATTTGTTCCTTCATGATACTAGAACCTATATGCACCGTTAGTTTAGAATCAGGGTTTTTCAACTCTCCTAGATAGATCCTTCATATCCACCAACCCGATTAAAGCTCCGAACATTCGCTTCTCGTTCTCTCAATTTCGTAAACAACACCCGTGGTGCGAGAAGACAGTGAGTAGGACTTCCCTGGTAGTAGTTGTATGCATGTGACCATGTGAAAGCATTTCGAGAGGCAGAGTTGACTCTCCTCACTCGGCCGTATCAAGGCATTTGAGGGTTTAAAAGTATTAAATAATAGTAGAAATAATAATAAACTCAAAACATACTGGAAAAAGATATTAGGGTAATGAAAGGATGGAAAATTACACGTATTACTTTTTTGCACACATAGTTCGGGCTAGAAATGATAAATTAATTGCAAACATTTTAACAGTGCATAATTTTGTTTTACTGTGTAGATTATTTTG